TATGTGTGTGTGTGTGTGTGTGTGTGTGTGTGTGTGTGTGTGTGTGTGTGTGTGTGTGTGTGTGTGTGTGTGTGTGTGTGTGTGTGTGTGTGTGTGTGTGTGGCCTAAATTGTTTATGACATGGGTAGTATGTGGATGTATCAGCAGGAAAAATCTTCAATGCACTATCAAGAATCGAATTTTCAGATTTGACTTATTTTGTGTCAGTAACACAACCATTTAGAGTGTTATTATTGAAAGACAAGTGGAAAGTGAATGTGTTAGCAAACAAAACAACTAAATTACAGTATAAATGTTATTCACCAACTGTGTCATTTTTCATTTTCAAAGAGGATGAAACAGTGTCGCTTTGTAAAAAAGACTTTTGCTTCACGATAGTATAAAGGAATTCCTTTTTACATTTGATTAATCCTGTTCTTGGTGCCCAGTGTGCCAGGGCTTAGTGCTTGGCAGTGGCCCGATTTGGGTCAATTAAAAAACAAAGAAGTATCTCTATCTACACTACAGGAAAGTTTAGAGGTCGGTTGGGGCACATGCACTAGACATTGCACACTGTGTTCACCAATGGTGGAAATGAATGTGGCTGTGTACGTTTCTTTGGACAAGACAGCATTTACATCTCTTGTGTTTTTTTCAAAAAGGGTCATTGAGATGTTTAAGAAACCTGGTAAATCCTGGCTATAGTGTGATAGCAGGAGGATCTTTATATGGAAGAGTCCTCTCTACTCGAGACAGCCTGCCCCATAGATTGTCTGAGCACCAGTTCCTCGCTGCCAAAGTATTCACGCCTGTATTTATTTCCTGGCAAGCTGTAGCTCTGTTTCCCAGGGCCTGTCAGCATATAAGAACACACTGTTCAGAGCATAAATTGAGAACAATGACACTAGCGCTGACAGTTTATGTGCAGAGAACCTTGACTCTTTGTGAGACAATCTTATGCAATGTGTCTCAGGTTTAACTGCTGCACCTGCTTTTTCTCTACAGAGCCGCCAGAGCATTTGGAGAATACCTGTCCAACACCCATCCAGAGAACCACAACGGAGCAGGTAGGTGAAACACTTAATTAATTAAACTGAACATCAACAACACTGAAAAAACTGAAACGTTGACTTGAATTAAATGTATTACGTCAAGAGAATTCACATAACTGTATTAGGTTAGTTGAAAGCAATAATATTCCGTTTTAATAAAAATCATTAGGTTCAACTTATTATTATTGCTTTCAAATAAATTCAACGTTTCAGTTTTTTGTGTGAAGGAAGACCAAAAACATAGTGTTGCTACTACAGCAGCAAGTACAGCCGACATGATGTGGAAGTATTTGTTATCTAAAAAAGCCAACCTTCTCCTCAGTTGGTCCCGCCAATGTTCTTAGCCTGACTCGTAGAAGTACAATGATCAAAGAGCTGCAGAGTACATTTGCATTCCATTCCTACAACCCAAAACCACTGTACTTAATCAACAAAATTGCAGGAAAATGCATTTAGCTGGTTGTTAGTGTCAGTTATATTAGAGATGTCATAACATCATAACTCATCAGATTAAGTATTATCGCTAGCGTCGGATTCCATGCCAATCGAATGTAAAAGTAAACATACAAAAAGTTATTGAGATAAAAGACATATAATTGGCCTTGTTATGTGAGTCAAACCCCTGCTTCACTCTACAACATGCATTTCACCGACTTGTTTATCCACAGCACAGATGGCATGACTGAGAGAAGGAGCCTTTATCCACAAAGTGGCTCTGTTTGTTGTTCGGATGAGTTAATTTCTAAATCTTTCATATTTTCTATCTTGCTCTTCCCTTTCACTCGGCCACCTCCTCATGCTCCCAAAAGCTTTTCTGGCTCGTGAATGTTTACCACTCTGCTGCCAAAGCTATGAATCCCATGGTGCAACATGGGTGATTTGGCTTTGTTTGTCTTGATCGGGAAGTTCTGTTCTGTTTTGGTTGCTCCTGTTTCCTCAGGTACCCATGACAGCTTGCTTTCTCCCTGTGCAGATCATCTGTTGTCGGACACCTTCCCCAGCCAGGACTGCGAGTCTCCAGCTGTCAGCCGCCTACATAACAACAATCTGACACCTCAGAGCCACTGCCTACCCAAAGCCAAACCCAACCAGGGCAGACAATCCAGTCCTAGCGCTCACCATCAGCCTCAGGTCAACACCCTCCAAGCTCAAGCTCCTTCGAGCCCCTCCAAACGCCGGCTCTCTACTGAACGCAGTCTCTCCACCGAGGAACCACCAGGTGCCAAAGGCCCGCAGAAGAGTGTGGTGGTGAAGCCAGCCAGGGTGTACACAATCACCAGGGAAGGAGGGATGACCCTGGGGGGCCGTGGCAGTGAGGAGAGCCTGGAGCTGGAGGTGCTGAAGGCCCCTGCCTCTGAAAAACACAACCCATCCTGCACCAGCCAGCCCCCCCCCTCCACCGCCCGCGGTAGCCATCACAGTAGTAGCTATCACCGCAGCAACCACCACCATGCTAGCCAGCAGCATGGAGGCTCGGCGTCAATATCACAGCCGCTGCAGAGCTCGGGGAGCACCAATAACATCCGGGACTGGGGGATGAGGAGAGGCGGGTCGCGGGACGACACCGCAGACTGCGTTGCCTGTATTCGGGCTCCGTGTCAGAGCCAGCGCTCCCTTGACCTGGATACCTCACAGAGGGATGGAGGGAAGTCCCGCACGAAACTGGAGAGGATGTACAGCGAGGACAAAGCCTCCACAGAGGACCGGGGTAGATAAAATGTTCATGGTTCATGTGCACTTATAAAACTGAAACGTTGACTTTAATTAAATGTTTTATGTTACCGCATTTCACATAATTGTATTAAGTTAGTTGAAAGCAAACCTAATACAATTATGTGAAATGTAGTGACATAATACATTTAATTAAAGTTCATGTTTAAATTTGTTCAGTGTGTACCTAAAATTTGTATTGAATACAGTAGTGAAACACGGTGTGTTTATAAGATGTGGTATAAAAAATAAAAAGGCTGCAAGAAGCTCAAAACACAACAGAAACCAGGGGACACTAAGAGGTAGGGATGGGTATCGTTAGGATTTTATCGATACCGATACTGCTTATCCATACCGGTATTTTTCGATACTCTTACCGATACTTTTCAATAATTTGGTGCTCAAAATTATAGACATGATTACAAGATGTGAAGATTAAACAACAGTCATTTTATCGTAATTTATTTGTATTCATTATTTAATGTAACTTGTTCAATGTCATACCAAGCAGGTATGAGTGTGTTTGACAGTGTGTCTTTGGAAGGGGGGCGGTAATTAGGGGCAGTTCATAAATCCATGTAAACAACGAGATGCTGCGTGCGCATCTCCGGTCGGCTAACCATTATATTGCGTTTATTATTTATAATTGTTATGATGGATTATCAGTAATAATTTTAAAGTTACAGAGACATTGGATTAACCGTTGTTATGCCCTTGACATAAAATGAAGTAGAAAAGATTGCATTTGCCAGTTATGTGCTAAAGTAGCCGTTTTGCTAAGTGTTGATTTAGACTTGGTGTTGGACTTCTGTTCCGTGTAGGTCAAATGGTTCATATCGTCTGTTAGCTGAGTTTTTCCCGTTAAGTGGGTATGCATCATTAATAGCTTGTTAAATGTTAAGAAGCCTTGAGACGCTGTTTCTAGCAAGATGTTGCGTCTGCCCCCGGGAGTCTCACAGTAATAAGAGCGCTGTTAGGAGAGATGACGAGTGGCATTCACAGTGGCACTTAAACCGGATACGTCACACGGGATGAGGGTTCCCAACCAACCAGAATTGTTTAAACTAAGGAAGTAGCGTAATTCATATACCGATAGCAGCACCGTTTGTCCAGCGGCTTAACGGTATACCAATACTGTCCAATCAGGTACCGGTACTGACTTGGTACCGGTTCTCGTTACCCATCCCTAGTCAGGAGACTCACAAAGTGATGTCTTCTCTACATCACCATGTGTCCCCGGTGTGTCCCCATGTGTCTCCGGTGTGTCCCCGGTGTGTCAGGAGACTCTCAAAGTATCAGGAAATAAACCCCTCTCTCTTCTCCTCCGTACCCACATCTCTAAAAACGGGGGAACAACGGAGCTGATCCAGATTTGCTGCGTCATGACCACATTACTAAAATGTGGGCGGGCTTTACACCCACGGGCCAATCAGAAAGGTTGCTGTCAGAAACAATGAGACGTGTTCTGGAAGTAATACGGTCTGTGTACATTAGCATGCTAACACTCAGAGCTAACCTGTGCTGGAGAGAGTCTGTGTGAAGAAGCAGGAAATCAAAAGGAAGTCACCTTGTGGTAAACCTGAGAGAGAGAGTTTGAGCTCCATCCTGTTTCAGAGAGAATCCTTGATGTGGTTTGGAACATGATGTGGAGTTTCATCACGGCAGCTACTGACCCAGAGTCAGCTCTTTAGTAACAGCTGGAAGAGAGGGGTTTGAGGCTACAATGATCTGTTTGGTGTTTGGAACAAAACACTTCAGAGACATGTTTTTTTATATATTTCTGAGACCTATAATATATTCCTAAAAATAGTTTAATAGGAGACCTT